ACATGCCCGAATTTGTATTATTAATGCCTGTTTATCTGCAGGTTTTGCCAGCACCGTCGACGACATCGCCGAGGGTGTGGGGCTGCGAGCGTTCCCTTTAGGGATGTAAGAAAAACATCTGTATAGCGACCATCAGCCATCACCCATCGGCCATCGCTAGTTTTCCTATCTCTTCGAATGAATGCTATTCGGTTTGCTTTTGTCGCCGAGGCTTCGATGTTTGTTTATAAAATAAGAAAGCGAAGAATAAATAAAACACCGTCGACGACATCGCCGAGGGTGTGGGGCTGCGAGCGTTCCCTTTAGGGATGTAAGAAAAACATCTGTATAGCGACCATCAGCCATCACCCATCGGCCATCGCTAGTTTTCCTATCTCTTCGAATGAATGCTATTCGGTTTGCTTTTGTCGCCGAGGCTTCGATGTTTGTTTATAAAATAAGAAAGCGAAGAATAAACTAGAATATCAATCTCAAATATATATTTAAAATAATCCTGAAAAGTATGTAAGAGGCCGCAGGAGGCGTACCACACACCATCTTAAAGGCACATACATGACCAGCAGACGAGACAAATCGATTAAGAAGTATCCGTCAGGCAGCCTGTTCGACTGTATGAACATTGAAATCTTTTGAACCACAACAGCTAGGAACACTTAGCCTGACACGTAGACAAGTCTTATCCACATGTAGAACAAGTTAATTACAACTCCACTATAGCCTCCTTATTTCATATAGCTACCATATGAAAGGTCGGTGTAAAAATCGCGCTGGGTATACTAGGTTGGTGTGAGTGCATGTTAAATCGAGAACAAGGCGTGCCAGATCCCTCATAGCATATTCATATATATATTCTTGATGAGTATGACGATCATAAACGATATGACCTACAATAAGATTTGTTTCAAAAACATGGGAACCAAATTGCATATTGGGAACGAGATAAGATAGTATGGGAACAGTAGAAAATTTAGTTTATGGTCCATCCATTCGAAATCACAAAAAAATACAACATGGTTATGGAAATGAGAAATAACTGTTTTGGATTAAATTTCCTCTCCTTTTCGTGTTCTGCGATTTAAGTATAAGGTAAGTATAAGTTCTGTTTTAAAATGTTCCAACATTTTTCGTTGTTGTAAAAAATGTCGTTATGGGTTATTATTGATTTTCAAACCAATATTTAAGTCGATTTGCAAAAGACCTCAATGGTCGTAGTTCAAATCCAATTATATTGAGGCGCTCATATAGAAATGGTTCGATCAAGAAAATACTCGTCTTAGTTTTTATCCGATTTGAATTGCATTTCTGAACACATCGAGCAAAGATGCTTTCATCGACCTTGCTTTGGATACAAATTTCATCATCATGGCTGGCTGCGAATGAGTGTATTCGTTTGTCCCTGTATGAGTGTGTCTGTGAGTGTGTGGGTGGCTTTGTTTACGCTGCTTTATGAGGTTCGATTAATTTGCGCGTAAACAGCGCGCGTACATTTATTTCTTTTTTGCTTTTGCTCTTTCGTTATCTCCCCAGCTCGCCTTTACTTTTTTTGCATTTATTTATAAGCACATATGTATATTAATATATACGTAAAGTATACATATACTTGTACTTTTGTATATCTACTACTAACATTATTAGTTTGTTTTACGACATTTTTCTTTCTGGCTTGTTGGGGCAGGGAAGGGCAGGGCTTCGAGTGGCAAACTTCTAATTATAGGCACGCTTCACAGCACGGTACATGCTAATAGAGTCGTTGGCCTATAGGCGGTGTTTTGGGTTTTTACTTTTGATTCGACAAAGCGTGACTTTGTCATTAGCGTGAGTGGGAATCCATTCAGCACAGCGCAGACAAATTCATTTTGTTTACTATCTAACTGGGATGGAAGTTTTCACACTTCCACTATCTAGACGCCTCTCGTCACGACGCCTGACATGGATTTGTTTTAGGCCCCAAGATATATTTGTAATATCTTGTTAAGCCGGAAAGATTTTTTTCATTCGATTTAAACCGCAACTCTTTTCTGAATTGCTTAAAGCCTTACATAGGTTAGTAATGAAAAGTAGATTAGTATCCTCATTCGGATCTCTCCTGTTCGTGAGATCGATTGCGAACCATAAGATTCATTTGTGCATTTCTTTAATCAGTTTTTTAAAAACTGGTGCTTGAGAATAATAAATCAATTATACTCTATTTCGGAATTGTTTTGTGTACCGAATACGAAGTATTCCATTTAGCAATAAATAAATTTGCCATTCAGCTGCTTTGTTTTTATGGAACACAAATGGATCAAAAGCCTACGATTTAAATTAAACTTACTGGTTTACATATAAAAATGATTTATGCCATTAAATATATATTTGTTTAGCCGCAAAAAGTGACTCTAAGGGGTCTTTGATATTTAATCGAAAATATGATTCAAAGCAAATAAGGCCAATGAGTGTTCAAAACATTATTAAACACAACTAATTAGACATCAAAACGATCTGAATGAGTTTAGTTTTCTGGTGATGATAAAACAGAATTAAAAACCGATCAGTCTGAATTATCGAAATAAATGCATGAAACAACCTGTAGCTGTTTTTTTGTTTTTGCTAATTACAATTTATTTCTTTTTGTCAGTTCTGTAGAGGCTTAAAGATTCAAATAATTCTTTTTAACTAACTACCGAAATTTTTCAATACACCTGCCTATCTGTTTATCTACATATATAACTATATATCAATCAGGATCTGAGTTCTACTTGTACATCTTCTTGTAAAAAATGTTCTATAAGAGCATTTTCAGCGCCTAATCTATCTATGCTATCTATTTTCTATCCATCCACCTATCTATCTTTCTATCTGTATACTGTACATCTATCCATCAATCTATCTATTTATCTATCTGTGCATCCATCAACCATCTATCTACATATTTAATTTAATTCCTTCAATAAATATATTTAAATAATTTATAACTGCACAATACTTTATAAAATGATTTCAGAAGCTTTCAGAACGAGTGTTCGAGTATTGTACGAGTATTGGGTATTGTTCTTTCCATAATATAGCGTGACTTATAATAGAAGATAACTAAGGTCTCAGCTCGGGGAGAAAGTTCAGGGGCGATTTGCAAAAACGAGTAGTTTTGGAACTGCCTAAGCCGTTGGTTGCTTTTGTTGTTGTTGTTGTTGTTGCTGTTGTTGTTGCTGTTATTGTTGCGCTTTGCAATTAGCTTTTGCCGAAATGCTTCTACTTGTATGAGTGAGTAGCTATGCCAACGGACGGCGATAAGAACCAAACATTAGCGCCCGTAATAACTCGCATGACTGTGACATAAAATCCATAAAAAAATAACCACAAAGCTTAACTCGCCAGCTTTGGGGAATAATATCGGCAATGAACTGCCAACTAATGCCATTTTCTAAAGAAACGCGTTAAAGCTGACTAAAAACAACAGCAACTACAACGCTTTTGGCTCATTAGGTATTGCATTAAGTAACGACTAATGTGCGCTTTTAATGGCTCTGACCGAAGCGAGCAACGGCATATTAGTTAAGAGAGGGCGTATGTAACACACAGAACATTATTATTTTTTGCAAGCAAGATCTGAATAAATCCTGGTCTTCAAGCTGTAGATGAAGTCGAGGCTAAAGAATAAATAAATAACACTTTTTGTTGAGTGTGTCACGCCACAAGATAATTTATGTTGTGTTTGCGGAAAAATAAAAATATAATATTAATACAAAAATAATTGTATTTTTTTTATCTCTTGTTTTATCTTAGCTTTAATGTCATTAACTAATTATTACGTCACAAATATGGACTGTGCATGGGTTAAGACATGTACTATATGTACATACAAGTACTTGTATATAATACGATGTAACTTTTATTAAAACATTTGTAAATATTTTTATTACATTTTATTTACTCTCTTGTCTTAAGAAAATAAGTAAGTAAAGTTAGCTATAATTAAAATTAATAGGAATGGAATAGAGAAAACATATATTCTAATAAATAGCTTATAACTGGGGGAAAAATCTTCAACCGAGTGGACGAAAATTGAATTGCTAATTAATTTGTTTACATTTATTATTTTTTATTATTAGTGTTTTCCCTTCTTATTTATGTACATTTATGTACATAGTACATATATTGCTAATAAATTCTTACACGATGTTTTAAGCTATATTCAGAAATGCAAATAATTAGCTCACAAATTTGTGTTCTTCCTGCAGCCAGGCTTCGAAGGAAAGTTATATTTGAATTCGAATAACATTTATTCCGTGCTTTAAAAATTCGACAAATTTATTTGCAAATTGTTTGCCTGGCATTTTTGGCATTCCCTTAGTAAGTAGCTTGTGAATGGTTTTAATTTTCAAGAATGTGCACATTGCTGGCCATTGTTAACCAAATTGTCTCTATGCGCGCCACCCGAGGTGTCTGAGAACGCTGGCAGCACACATACTTACGAGTATGCGAGTATAGCGCGCAGATTAAAAGATTTGTTATAACAACGAAGCAAACTAATAAACAAACATAAACATTGCAATGCGTGTTTTGCGTGCGCCCCTCCCCCCCCCCCCCCTACCCCCCTTCCCCCTCTTCCCACCCCTCCTGCGTTCACGACCAAGTGCGAAAAATGCTTATCTAATGATCGATAATGAATGGAGGACGGCCCGCGGAGAAGGAAGTGCATTATGGTAGTGCTGGCTGGCTGGCTGGCTGGCTGGCTGGCTGGCTGGCTGGCTGGCTGGCTGGCTGGCTGGCTGGCTGGCTGGCTGGCTGGCTGGCTGGCTGGCCTAGCCTGCTGGCCTGGAGCTTTCGCAGAGAACTTGTCGAGGTCGGCCGACGTGACCAGAGACACGTTATGCCTCCAGCACTGAGTCGCTCGCACACCCAGCGGGGATGCGTCAGTCGAAAGCTCTGCGTTCTGCGATTGGAGTCGCAGCGACAGCGACAGCGACGCCGGTCCCAGTGGCTATATAAGTCGGTTGCACTGAGGCCGACCCGTGCCAATTGCAAAAAGTTGCGAATCGCTTAAACACTCCCACAACCACTAACTACTCCCCACCACTCTCTCCAACCACTCTCTCCTCGCACCGCCACACACTTCCGGGACGACAATGTGGTCAAAAGTTGGCATTAGCGGCGCCTTGCTGGTCATGGGTGGCGTCCTCTACTCCAGCGTTGTGGACAACTTTGCTTACGTGGACCGCTCCCTGGACACGGCCATGCCCAAGGCGAAGCGCCATGTGGCCAAGGAATGAGTGCCGGTCGCGAATTCTGCGGGTGTGTGTGTATGTGTATGTGTGTGTGTGAGCCGCAGTGTGCCGTTATGAACAAGGGCCGATGACGTATTTCTAAAACAAAACGAGACAAAAACAGTGTAATGATTTATTTTTTGTGTATTTTTTTTTCTCTAATTATAATCTGTTGCAAACTATAATATTTATAGACCAGACTATATATATATGTGTACATATAATAAAATAATATTTATGTTTGAACATTGACGAATTGCTGATAAGATTTGATTCTTCCTCTCTGCTGCTGCTGCTGTTGTTGTTGTTGTTATTTCTGTTTAACTGTTAAGCTACTTGGCCTCTAAGGTATGGCTGATGTGAAGTGGACATACTTGTAAAGTGTAATCCTGTTGTGGCTTGAACGATTTTAACTGTTGGGCCGGCTTATGGATAATTTATTTAATATCGAATAGTACTTTTGCAATGTTGTTAAAAGATTGCCCGCAGATAAGATAACTTCAGTCTTCTATTACTATTCTTCTGCGAAGATAATACGCACTGCTGCTACTTCCAGATACAATTGCTTCAGTCCTCTACTACTATTCTTCTGCGAAGATAATCCCAACTTCTGTTGATAGCCATGTAGGCTGCTTATAAAATTGTATTGTAGCTGCAGAAACTCTGAATCACTGAAGAGTGACGTTCTTGATAAGATAACAGACTCGTTCTTGAAGGGCAGCCAATCATCTCAAAGATTTATATGTACTTCCCAAGTTCAGATAAGCTGTAGATGAGGTTTATTTCTGTAGCTTATCGATTGGTTCCTTGAGTGCCCAACTTGTATAATGGACGTTGAAGAATCGCTAATTACCAGCAAAAGATTAGATTTGTTTTGGGTTTATCTTTTTCTTTGCACTTGTGGAGTGTATCATCTAGATTGATCTAGATGTTCTTATCAAATAGCAATTACAATTTATGTTTTTCTGCTGCCGCTTGCAGAATGTTTCGTCAGTTTGAAATAGTTTCGAATAGATCAATCTTGTATGCATGTATGCTCATCCAGCCTGATGATGATGTGTTAAAAATACGAGAATCAGTTATGGATTGGAAATAAATCAGATGGTGGCTCATTGCTGCATCTTCTCGTTTAGTTGAAATAGATTTGAAAAGTGCATATCGGTGTAGGCTTAACATATACGTGCAATACAAAAATGTAGCTTCTCCAATAAGTTGGAATACAACAATCAGTGCTTGCTTTGTCGCTATTGATTGATGTTGATTATCTCAAATAAAGACAGTCTTGTAACTTAGTTCTTAATAAAGTTGAAGAAGATGTATACCTCTTCCCATTGTTGCTTTAGAAAAAACGTTAGTTGCTTCGATTTTTTAAAAAGCATAGAAATATATCTATTCATTCATTCATGTATTAATCGGCTTTATATAATCCCATATCTGGAGTGTGTATTTGAAGGAATTGCGTAGATTTTGAAGAAATTGCAGTGAGTTCTCCTAAAATTCTTCATATGTATTACTTATATATAAATCACATTCAGTGCTAGAGCTTCTGGGCTTGCCTGTTTTGAACGAAATTTTAATAAGCGTACACGCTTATATGGAAATATGTAATGTATAATCAGACTTACTTCTGCAGCTTCGTGGCTGCTTCTTAAAAAAGGAATTTCAAAGAGATTCAAGAAGGTATGTTTCATTCGACAGCTCCTTGAATTCTTTCCATGTGTCGTTTAAAGATGAAGTGAAATGTGATGTTGTCCCTACTTCTTATGTAAATATCAGTTTTGCTTCTTGGCTGCTTGCGTCCCCATTTTGAAGTGCTGTGGATAGGAGTTAACAGTTTTGTTGTACTTCGAAAGCACACTTGAACATCTGTTTAGTTTCTTGATTGATTGATTGATTGACGTGATATTGTGATGATGGTGTGTATTTCTCAAATGACAAGCGATTGGAATTTAGTTCCATTTCTTGAATTTTGAGAACTCAGCGGGCTGCAGCTCCCTCCTAGCCCCCTGGAATACATGGTAGATGCGTCCAGCACCCGTCGATGTAGAGGGTCCGTCATAATAAAATGCCCCCTCGGCCTCGGTCTTGGCCCCAGTAGCTGCAGCAGCTTTCGCGGTAGCTGAGGTAGCAGTGCCGGTTCCGGTGACAGTGACGTCAGAGGCTTTGGGAGCAGCAGCCTTGGCGGCGGCAGCAGCAGCAGCGGCTGCGGCAGCCTTAGCCTTCTCCTCCTGCTTTTGGACGGTGTGGCGCAGCTTGGCCTGTGCTTTCTGCTTGAGGATGCTCGGCATGGCCGGGGCATGCTTGAATGGCTCAATGGGCCGGGGCGGTGGGGGCGGCGGCATCGCAACCGGCGGCGGAACGAATCCAATCCAGGTGCAGGGTGGCATTCCCAACTTGAGCAGCTGCTGAAGCTGTTCGTCGTTCACCATGGCGCTCTGCTCGTTGCCATTGATGTCCCGCATGACGACCAAATAGCGAACGTGCTGGCAGTCCTGGCTGGGCGGCACTCTGGTGACTGTGACCTCTGGGCTTGGTCTCGGAGCCATAAGTGTTGGGAACGGCTGTGGCTTCGGATCCACGAACGTTTTGGGTATGACTTTCTCTGGTTTGGGCTTCTGGGGTGCTGGCTGTGAGGCCGGTGGGTTCACTGACTTGGGCTGTAGAGCAAAGAATGGTTTGCATGCCTCCAATATGGTGGGGGAGTCGAAATCTTTCGGAATGACCCACTCCCGATGGGCCGGCTGGACAATCACCTTCGGATATATCTCCTTCACCAGTGGATTGATAAATGGCGTCACATCTATGTCGGGCTTGGGCCAAAACTCTGGCTTCGCCTCCGCCACGGACTTAACTGGCTGCCGGCGCCTGTAGGGACGCTTTGGCACATTTGCCTTCAGGGTGTTGGTAATGTTTGGCTTGCGGCCGCGACGTCGAACCGCCTTGCCAGTGGTCGTGGGCGATGACATTGCTTCAGTCATCGGCACCATGGTGCTAACCTTTACGGCTGAATTTAGAAAGTACGGCGACCCCACATTGTTGAGCATAAGGGGGGCTGTCTGCTGGCTTGAAAGACCATTGAAATTCGTGTCGCACTGCATACCTTGAGAACCGTGCCAGTCTCCTTCTCCGTTTTGGTTATACTTGCTCTGGTATTGGTCCATTAACTGGTTGTTCAGTTCATCGATCAGTTGATCGCTCTGTTGCTCATTCAGTTGATGATCACTTAGTGTTTTGGCATTCAATAGTTGGGGCCTAAAGTTCTGTTTATTGAACGGCTTACAGTCTTTATTAGCTTGCTGCTTGGGCTGAGCTGATTCCTGCTTACTTTCCTTTTGTTCTCCATTCTGTTCAGCCTTCTTTCCCGTGTCCTTTCCACTGTTCCTCACCTTTGCTTCTTCCTCTGCCTGGGCTTCTTCAAACAAACGCTTAACGGTCTCGGGAGTAATCATCTCATAGCGCTCGTTCTCCTTCTCTTCTGGCTTGATTAGCTCCAGCAATTGATCGGTCCAACGATCATGCTCTTCTGGAGTCATATCCGAACTGAGAAGGGATTGCTTCTGTTGCTCCATCTCCTTGCGTTCTACATAGTGGAAACATCCTCTGGGATCACTGCTATGGATTTCGATTCCTTCCCTTTTTCTGTATCTTTCCTCAGCTTGTTCAATTTCTCGTTCAATTTCATCCCAATCGGCAAATTTTAATATTTCGTCCCATTTTCTTAGTTCTTCGTTATTCTCCATTTCTTCTTCTTGTTTGTTAGTGTCTGCCACACGTTTGTAGTATTGTTTAAAATATTGTTACCTGATTTGTGATTTATACCTTTTGCGAAGTAAACGGCAAGGACTCCGCTTAGCTCCAATCACACAAGCCTACTCTTGAGTCCTGCAGTTCAAGCAAATCAAAGGAAATTATCTAGATTCGTTTCACACTACACTTTATACTTACTGTCCTGTCTTCTAATGGGTTATCTAAATTCTTCAAGACCTTTAAAAGTAACGTCTTAAGGTCTGCAAATGCAACATAGTTTCCTTAGAATTTATTTGGATTCAGAGGTTCATATATGTACCTAATGCCAATCTTCAAATTAGTCTTTAGTTTCCTGAACTACGGATTTCGAAAAGCTCAGTCGAAAATGTAGTTCTTTTAAGGCCGACCTTTTAAAGGCCTTGAAATCTTGAGATCTTAAAAAAAACATAGATCCATTAAACTATTTAGTCTCTGCATGCAGAGGGATCTATACCTGCCGCCCAGTCTCCAAAGAAGTCTCTAGTTTCCAGAGGTGCAGAAAAACAAAACAATAGTTCCTGGATTTTTATTAAACGAAGTTCAATTCAGATAAAATCGTAAAGTCTCTAGAATCAGTGGGAATATACTATACATACCAAATCAGGTACAATGAGTCCTTAAGTGCAGTCTCAGGTCCCGAAAAGCGAGATGTCAGCTCAATAACTAAAGTTACTGGAAAACATAGAAATTTTAATATAAATGAAGAGTCTTTCTGTACTTTGTAGGGAGTAGTGTCTCTTAGAAGGGGGATATGTCATATTTTATTTATCATTTTTTATGCTTAATGGCCGATAATATATACAGACTACTTAGGAGCATGTTTACAGAAACGATTCTCGTGTGGCTCACGCACGCATCAAAAATATATACACTACACATGTATGTAGTATGTATATACATGTGCTCGAATATATAAATATACAAAGGCAACCCAATCTGTGGGCGCACAAAAAATGACTGGCAAGCCACAAATACTTTGTCAGGATCAAGTTGACATTCGTTTGGTCGTTGGGGCCATAAGCCTAGTGGGGTGGGCGGGCGACTCCTTCCTTCGAGGGGCCAACGCACGCATTTGACACTTTTTTGCCGACTTCCCACCGTCATGGACCAGAGCTGGCATATGCCCGACCAGGGGCAGTAAGATGGGGTCAGGTAGGGGCAGGGGCAGGGACGGGGGCAGCGGGAGGTGGACGAGGACCACGACACATATCTGATGCGTGCGTTCGGGTGTGTGTGTGTAGGCATTCGCCAAAACAGATTGTTTAAGATTTGATTTTAGGCAGCAGCTTTCGGTTGTGGCGCATCGCCAGCTTCTCAGTCAGCCTGGCCGAGCTAGTCGGCCGCCTTTTCGGCCATGTCGCACTGCCAAAACAATCGTTAATCTAATGAAAGATGACGTTTCAGGGGGCTGCCTCACTCGCTCTCTTTCGGTTCTGGTAAGCCAGAAATTTGAGTAGTGGGCTGTGTGGCTGCCTCGGCTGCTTTGGTTGCTTTGGTTGCTGTTCCTGTTTGCTAATCATTCATCATTCTAGTTGGCTTTATTTCGGCTGCTGGGCTTTGATGAATAAGCGGCAAGCAAAACAAAGCTGTGTAACTCTGCAATGTGGAAGAGAGGAGGGAGAGGCAAGGCAATCGTCGGAGAGTCGTAGTGAACTGCAAAATGCCCCTTTTCCCTCCGTCTTACCCCTTTTTGGGGGTAAAGTTCAATTGCTTTGCATAACTACCGGTGACGAGGCATCTTGTGTGTCGGCTTACCAAAAAATTTGCCAACAAATTAGCTGAAGCCGAGTCGTTTACACTTGTCAAAATGTTGGCCCCTTGTTGCGCACAACGCCCAATAAAATTTGATTAGTCCTGTAGCTGCAAATCCGTAAGGTCGCGAACGAGCAGAAGCAGCAGCAGCAGCAGAACACCAGGAAGAAGGGTCCACAGTCCAGCAGCAATATGAGAATTTATGTTTGCCGAGCGGGCGGCAACAAATAGCAACCCCCTGCCCATGCCCCCCTTCCCGACCAACTCCCACCGCACAGAATATATACATTGCATGTGGATTGTATATTCATGTGCCGTATAAGGCTTATTCGAACTTTGCTCGAGTGGTCTACGGTGGGTTGGTTGGTTGGTTGGTTGGTTGGTTGGTCGCTTTGTCGCTCTGACGGTCCATTTGGTCTCTTGGTCGGTCGGCCAGGAGCAACTTGGGTTAATTTACATTATAAACTTTGAATATTTTATTGTTTGCCTAGGAAAGGACACAGCTGGCGTTGGCATTGCTTGCCACAGCACACTCTATATACATTTGCACTCTGAATATAAGCGTGGGCAGGTAACAGCTACAACAACAAGATCCACCCCAACTCTAACCCCGACTCCCCACCTCAAAAGCAACAGCAGCCGCCCATTTGCAGGCACCCTGGTTCGATCTTCGCATATAAAAGTGACCCATTGGGGAAGGAAATCCAATGAAGAGCTTTTTTTTTTTGGAAAATTACCTTATTCTAATAGAAGTCTATAATTAGAAATTAATTTAGCAAACTATATAATTTGTATACATAAGTCAGTTGATTATATATCTACCAGCAATAGATCGCCTACAAAGCAGGAGCATAGAACGAGTAAAGATCATTTCTTAGATAAGTGATAATAAAAATTTGTGAAGGAGGTGATGGAGATCATTTTTTAATGAGAGAGGGCACCAAAAAACCGAAGAGTTAACAAGAATCATAAAAACAAAGAGAAATGAAGAAACAGACTATGAAGATCATTCTCTACTCCATAATATCGCATACTCTTCAAGAAAGGTCTTCAAGAAAGATTTTTAAGAAATGTATTAATCTTCGAGAAAGATTTTCAAGAAATGTATAAGTCTTTAAAAAAGGTCTTCAAGAAAGATTTTTAAGAAATGTATAAATCTTCGAGAAAGATATTCAAGAAATGTAGAAGTCTTCAAAAAAGGTCTTCTAGACAGATTTCTAAGAAATGTAGAAGTCTTCAAGAAAGATTTTCAAGAAATGTATAAGTCTTCGAGAAAGATTTTCAAGAAATGTAGAAGTCTTCGAGAAAGATTTTCAAGAAATGTAGAAGTCTTCGAGAAAGATTTCCAAGAAATGTAGAAGTCTTCGAGAAAGATTTTCAAGAAATGTATAAGTCTTCGAGAAAGATTTTCAAGAAATGTATAAGTCTTCGAGAAAGATTTTCAAGAAATGTAGAAGTCTTCAAAAAAGGTTTTCAGTGATTGAAAAACCTAATCCGATTGTTAAAGAAAAAAGAGTGGTCTGCAAAGAAGGTTTTTGAAGGAGGTGCTTCAACCCACAATTGTCTATACAGCTAGGGTTGAAGGTTGGATAATCAAGTCACCATTATCGCTGTAGTCCTGGGACTATTTGGGAAGTACGTCTTTGGGAATATTTGCAGAAAGTACATTATTATATTGAATAAACTATTCCTATATAGGAGAGCTATGCACGTTTTTTTCCAATCTTTAACTTAGAGCTATTTAAAGAGCTAGGGTTGAAGGGTTGTTTCTGTTGTCATCACATGGGTTGTCACCCATTTATTCAAATAAGTTCGGTGCGATTTGGTAACACTGTGCCTCGGCAGTTTGGGGGCACTTCTGTGGTATTTGCAGCCATTGCCACCGTTGTCGGCAAGGCATTAAGCTTTGATAGTGGTTCAAGAGCGTGAACTCTTGCCAAGCCGTGCGACCGACCATTCGGCCATCCGGCTGACTATCCGGCCATTGGAGCTGTGCGCCCACTACGGCTCCGACTCCGACTGCCAGCCAACCACATTTATTGACACTTTGCGATACAGCACACAATGTTGGTGGTTAGGTCGCTGGGTGGCTAGGTGGTTGGCTGATTGGGTGGTTGGGAGTCGTAGCTCAATTTTGTGTGCCAGTCGGTCGGGCGTCATGCGGCTGTGGTCAGCCATAGCTATAGCCATGGCCATATCCATGGGCCACTACACTACATCTAACTCTGATTTAATGGCAACATAAACATTTTTGGCCAAATTATGAACGAGAATTGTAAAGTGTTGGCCCTCCATTGGCCCCAACACCCTTGGCACCCTCATCATCATTAGCATTAAGAGCGCCGTAGGCATTTGCCTGTTAAGCTTTTAAGAATTAAGTTACTAAATAATTAAGCAATTCTCGTTGCCGCAACAGCCTCCACATTCAATGACTATGTAATGCTAGTCGACGACTGCCATTTTCCGACTATTCTCTATGTTTTTTGTGCGCCCACCACCAGTCGGAGAGTTTGGGAAACTCATAAAGAAAATCAACCGCATTCTGAGCGTTTTACGACCAAGCTGGCAATTGAGTTGCAGTTCCCTTTCCCACAGCCAGCTCCTACGATATACACATACTCGTACACACTATATATCGTGCTATACTAGGTGCTAACTACTAATGACTTATTGTGTGTGTATGTGTTGTGTGTGGACAGCTTATGAACGAGGAATTGGCAGCTATAGCCTAATGGATGGCACAAGGCTAAAATGTTATTTCATCTCCAGCCCCTTAGAAGCAAAAAACGAATACAGAAAATAAATGGAAGACACGGACCAATCAAATAATACAGCAGTTGTTCAAGGCGGTCGTAGACTTTCTCTCCAACAACTAATAGAGCAAACGCAAGGAAAGTGCTCGAATTCCGCAACTTAAAAATAGAAGTGGTGGTCAGACTGGCAAATAATTTGCACGGCTTATTAAAGTTAGACAGTCCTCAAATGTATGGCTGGAATGTTAAGTTGTTCGAATTAAATGTGAAGAACTTGTTTGATTGCGAAATAATTATTGAAATATAAGTAAAGAACAAAATTTCCTCCACGTTCTGTCTTCTAGATCGTTAAAGGTTCAAGTAGAGGCTCATCATATAAAGAGTTATACTGATAGAATAAGAAAACAGCAAAGACTTGTCATACTGTATTTACTATTCACATTATTTCAAAGTGTAAGATTTAAAAGTGATTTTTCACTTGAAAGGTATATAATATTATGGGCTTATGATTAGTTTCTTATAAACCTGATCTGCATATGGATAAGACAAGCTTACATGCCAAGTTTGGTGGTCTCAGCAGATATGGCTCAAAACTGGTCGATGTTCATACAGTCGAACGGACGAACAGACTGGCGGATGGATGGATGCATGGACGGTCATGTCTACATAGATTCGCCTCAAACCCTTCAGGTACTTTCTCAATACTCTCACGATTGAAAGTCTCTTTTCTGGAACCTCTTCAATTAAAGAAGCAACGCAGATTCCGAAACTGATCAGCAACACACTTTAAATATCACTGTAGAGGTTAATGCAATTAATTAATTAACAGTCTCCATTTATTCTTAATGGGAGGAGGTCGGGCCGAATAGCTGCTTTCTACGGAAAAGTGGTTTTAAAGGATTTGTGTGCTTGATGAATGCTTTTCCAATAAGCCGGCCACGCAGTATCCTTTCGCATATAAAGCGTGCCGCGAAAATGTACCGTTGTGGCTGAGCGGGCTGAGGGGAGCCCCCAAGGACCACGAGGCAATTTATGCTGAGATGCTGCATTTTGTTTTATGCTTTAATCCATGCAGCACACACACAGACACAAACACATTGTAGACTAACATGAAGGTGGAGGCAGAGCTAAAGCTGCAGATAAAGACACGGCACGCATGTTGGCGCCGCTCCCCCTCCCCCCCTCCACAGGCATCATGGCGTTGTGCGTTAAATTAATAATTTATAAATTTTGCTTTGCCGAGATTAGCAAAGGATTTCAACGCCTTTTCTTTCCTTGGCTGCCTTTTGTTTTTTTTCAGATAATTTGCTTTTTTCTGCTGGTGCTGCTGCTTATTGAAGAAGGTGTTGGTAGCACACACAAGCACACATACAAGCACATATGTATGTATGTGCACACATGCAAGCATTGAATACGTAATCAACATAAATTTGTGTTGCCAAAGGATTTGAGTTGCGTTGCGTGCCTGGCCAGCATCTGAATTCCTTGCACTCCTCTCCAGATACACATTTAAGCAGCAAGGCAGGAACTCAGGAAGGCAGCCAGCGAGCCAGCGAGCCAGCATTCGCTACAAATTTCATTTGAAAATGGCGAAATTTATTTTGCTTCGCAGCTAACGTGGCTATCAGCGAGTCCGCATCGAAATTAGGCAAAAAAGTGCGCAGAAAGTGCGCCAAAACGTATGCATATAATAAATTATAAAGCAAATCCGCGTTAAAGATCACAGCAACAACGAACGAGTGTGCGAGAGGGGGAGAGAGAGAGAGAGAGAGAGAGAGCGCGCGAATGCGAGAGCAGCAATAGACATTAAATGTGCGCCACTTGACTGCGTCGCTTGCCATTTTACTGTTATTTTTGCTGCTGCTGCTGCTGCTGTTGTTTTTGTTGCGGGCCGCCATTTAAAATGATAAAAATCGCAAACAATTTCAGCGCCTGCAGCAGCAGCGCCTGCCAGCCAACAACAACAACAACAACAGCAGCAGCAGGAACAGCAACACGACGACAGCAACGAGTGGCAGAGCGATGGTAGCGTAGGCAGTCACCACACACACACACAAGCAGGAACAACTGAGAGCGACCGAACGAGAGCGAGAGAGAGAGAGAAAAAATCGGCAACGAAAAAATCACTACAACAACAACTACATACATGGTATTTATTCCTTTTGGTTCACTCTCTTTTCACTCACCAAGCCAATTGTAAATGGTTCCCCAAATATTTCTTTTAATTCAATCATTCACTGGCGAGTTTGGGTTTTCACAGATTTTTCAGATCTTTTCCGATTTTTCGCAATTTATTTTCACAGATGTTGTTCACTTGAATTCCAATGGAAAACTGAATAAAATCATTATTAGTTTTATTGCCTATTGACAAGAGTTCCGAAATCAAACTTCATAGCTAGCTGGGTTGCTAGGTTTTTTCTTTATATTCTAATTTACAACAGTGTTCCAATATATCTTCACCAAAAAACTCTTAATATAGTAATGAAGATTAGCTTTTACTTTAATTTTTTAAGGCATTTAAACTTAACAGCTTTTGAGAACCTTTAATCTTTTTTCAGGAATCTAAGTCAGCATTATAAATTAGACAAGATCTCATTTCTTGTCCCACCCTGCAGTGGAATCGAAAGACGGGCTTTGACGATCCTGATGGCTTCTTAAAAAGCGTCACTTTTCATCTAGAGTCTGCATTTTTGACAGTAAAATAATTTGTTTCGGAACTAGAAGTACTCAGAACAGAAGTTTGCGAACAGAAGATTTTTCGATTTACACAAATAATTTTAGTAAGATATAGTGCGAAATTTGAGTCATAACATGAATAGGAAACGTTTTTTTGTTTGAATTTAAATTTATTTATTTATTTATTATTGAATTTATTTGCCCTAAATAGGTTTTCAAAGAAACAAACCGAAATGTTTCTGGAAAAGTCGCTTAACAGATTTGCAATGCAGCTAAGAATATCGGAAAATTGTGAATATTTGAAGAATCTTCAGGCGGGTAGTGAGATCAGGGTAGGGTACTCGCTGACTCTAGAGACTATGAGCAGAAGCTACAAAAGCCCAGTGTTTCCATCTCTTTTCCCCTTTGCCCTCGTGTCTTCAATCATCGGCATTTGCATGTGCCACAAATTGTGGCAAGGCGTGAAGTGCAACAAAATAAATGCGTTTACTTTGCGGCACGCAAATTAAAGAAATAAAATAAAAAATGCAAAACTTGGCATTGCATTCGAGGGCTCGCGCGATAAAAATAAGGAGAGTTTGCGCTTTCTTCCTTGTCTGCTGCTGCCTTTTGCTTCCGACTGTGCCGACTTCCATAATAATGCTAAATAATAAAACGCAGCAAAAACATCAGAAATGATAATAATGTCGGCAAAGGGACGAAACCGGGGGAGGGGAGGGGATGGGTCGCAGCGACAACCAAGGGTGCGCGACTGCAGAAATTGGTCAAAACAATATAAATGCAAATGCGTCGGGGAAGGTGACAACAACTGTAAACGGCTATCCTCAGACCCAGACCCAGACCCAGTCCCAGACCCGCCGTCTTGGTCTCTATCCCAGTCTTTGTAGTAGTCGGCCCTGCGACGCATTTTAATCAGTTGGCAGGGACTGCGCCGTCTAGCTAGCGTGCGACTGCCAAGCGCAATTAATGCGCTCAAAATGCATTGGCAGCGCTCAACGACTGTGACTCCTTAGCCACACTCCCCTCCTGTTCACCCTCGCCCTCTTCCTTTCCCACTGACTATGGGTGTCCAGCCTCTTCCGTTGCGGCTGCTCCTTCTGCCTGTGGCCTGCTCGACAAGTCGCGTCCTGCATACGAAATGCGCCTGCACTTTATGACTTATGCAATTGCCAAAGTTGTCGCCAGTTGTGCTCAAAGTTTAGTGCATTCCCTACACCCCCCCCCCCCATCCTTCCCCCACCTGCAATTCTCCAAAACTCCCCAAGTCGAATTGTAGGTGGCAGCCATTCACCTGTTGCCCCGCGACTCGATAAATCAACGCAAATCGCAGCCGCACGCACCTAGAGGTTGAAGGCATAGCGACGGCTCCCTCACATTTTTCACAATTATAATGGTCTTGGGAACGGAACCCCTACTCGACCACTCGACTACAAATCTTTAGTGCTTGGAGGCCAGGTCATGCGCAAGTTTATTTTAAAATGTTGCAGTTCGATGTAAATAGTAGCTGGTTTTGAACTGCTAATACGATTTATAAGAATTCAAAAAATTTAACAATATTCAACTTGTGGCAACAAGCAGTCACATACTCGTATGCCAATTCTGCAACACTAGTCCTCCTCCCCCTTGAACACCTCTCTCTACCGACAGAATTTTTTCCCAACCCTCGACCCATCCACTTCTCTCTCTTGTCAACTTTAAAATACTCGTAAAGTTTCTTAGAGCATCAAATCTTATTCAGAAATTATAGTTCTAAGTATTACAGATCCACAATATCTTCATTGACTCATTCATTCACTTCTTTAAATAGCTGTAAAATAAAATGTATTAAACTAATTAACTAATTCATATTATTATTATTATTTAAGTTAAGCTTAAGGCCACGTCGCTAAAGCTATAGCTATGGCAAGCTTATTTTATTTATTTACTTATTATTTCCTAGTGCGACAAGAAATTTCTTTATAAAATAATGCACTAAGTAGTCAGAAAACATACAATTTTCTTTGATAAAATGGCTACTTAACTTATTTAATAAAATGTTGTGTTTAATTTAATGGATTGTCTTGTACACGCAATCTGTTGTATCTGTAATTTTAATTGCCTTTAAGCTATTTATAAATAAATACAAATAAAATGCTAATATTGGTCTAGATATAAATTTTCCCCAACATGCTGACTAAGAATATTTCAATTATGCTTCCTTCTACCTGGTACTTCCTTTACACAGACCTAATAGATCCTTCTTATACAGTGCATACAAATATTTAATGTGTTTGAATCATGATCTAAAATTGATTTAAGACTGTGTTGAATTTATTCCAAATCGCTCGATTATTTCCCTTAAAAGAGAGAGTTTTCAAAAATACTTCGACGAAGCAAGCAAAAATGCCTAACAAAGGTCCTTTCTTTTAGGAGAGAGCGCCTTGTTATCTCATTATGGTGGCCCATTGACTCTTTGTGATTATCTTGAGTTTTGTTAACGTGGATTCGTCTGTTTTGTAGTAATTAGTAGTCGAGAATTACAAAGAAAAGGACATGGCCTTAGAGACAAAATCGAGCAGCGAACTTGTCTCTCTTACTCTATGTGTGTGCGTGTGGAAAGTGCAGCTTTTCTTGGGGAAATGCAGCATTTGGCAGAGGCAGAGACTTTGCCTGCAGCGGCTAAGAGGATGTGGAAGAAGAAGCAGCAGCAGCAGCAGCAATCGCTTTTCGGCGCCCAATTTTAATGAAATTGCAATACAAACGAAAATTCAATTTGCAAAAATAACAACAACAACAAGAACAACAACAAGGAAGGCAATAAATAAATGCAGCCGCCTCTGCCACGCCCACAAATTTGCCGTTGATTGGATTTGTGTAAAGCACTTTTCCACATACACAGACACACACACAGCCACAGACATAGAGATAGAGAGCGAGGAAGAGAGAGAGAGAGAGAGAGAGAGACACATACTTAATTAGTTCTCTGGCTAAATTAAAAGAAAATAGATTTATTTGCATGCGTGCACAGGCAGCAGCAGACCCACATTCGCAGCCACATCCTTATTCACACATCCTCCTGCTCCTTCTCCCCATTTCCCGCACTCAGCTTCACACTCGTGTCCACACATTTACATTCAAATTTGAATTCACAGCAACAGCAACAGCAACAGCCACATGCTTGGCTGCAACCACTCGACGTCTCTCCCCTTTCCCCTCTTATCTGTCGACTCTGCTGCAGAGCTGGTGCGAGGATAGTAGAGCGTCTTGCCTTAATGGCTCGATGCGGGCGCTTTAAGTTCTGCTGTTAGTCCTTCAAGGCAGTCGCTTGATTGTAAATAGTTTATACGATCGGCCCAGTCAGCTGCGCAAAATATTGCAAATATTGCAACAACAATGGTCGCCAACTGGTCGTCCTGCCATCCAGCTATCCAGCTCTGCTGCCATATTCATCTTCAGCCACATTTCCTGCCAACATTGTCTACAACAACAACAACAACAATATCAGCAACAAGAGCTGGAAATAATAATAATAGCAACCAGAAGCAACATAAAGACGTTACAACCCAGCAGATACAAGATACAAGTTGCGTAAAAAATTGTTGCTGCTGTTGTTGTAGTGGTTGCTGTTGTTGTTGTTGTTGTGCGCATTTGGGTGCATAAGCAAATTGCAGCAAAGAATTTTAAATGAAAAATATTTCAAATAACAAAATAAAAAATAAATTAAACACACACACACACACGCGCGCGGACACACAAGTAGAAGCAACGATAACATTTCGCTTTGATTTTCTAGCCCAGCTTCGCTGCGGCAGCAATATCCTAAAAATACACACCCCATTGCTGTAAGTGTGTGTGTGTATGTCTGTGTGTGTGTGTGTGTTTGGGTATGTCTGTGTGTGTGTGTTTGTGGGAGCTAAGTGGGAGCGCGTTTTTAAACGCGAGCAACACGCGCCAAGGCCAAACACATATAGTACTTAAGCTACGTTCACACATGCAGACAATTGGTTTGTCCAATCTTTTTGCCGAATAGAGTGGCAGATCGCCATGAAATTGTGGGCCGATGGACATAGAGATAAATATAAATAATATATAAATATTAACTAATATGTTGGTACTAGTATAAGAGACCAGTTGTAAAATTATTTTGCTAACTTGTCGACCCCTGTTTTTAACACTAGATGGTTGTTCTTATTTGAAATTGTGGCCCGATGGGCATAGATATAAAAACGTGACACCGAAAGATAAATGTACCAGAATTGTGGAGGTTTATACCAAAACTAAAATGTGGGTACTATAAGAGACCAGTTGTAAAATTATTTTGCTAACTTGACGACCCCTGTTTTTAACACTAGATGGTTGTTCTTATCTGGAGGTTGTTCTTCGTCGAAACTACCAATTTTAAATTAAACTCTTGCTTGATCCTTACACAGGGGCATAGCTTGCCGGACTGGCTTTCAAATTTTCCGCCACTGGGTTGGAGATTTCCCTTTTAATCTATCTCTTTATGCTTAATTAGCTGTTAAGTATAATTACTTTTCCTTCTGTAA